TTAGCAGTCCCACTAACCCACCAACTCTACCATTCAGCGTGGCTTCAGTAACTTCTAGGTACAGTTACTCATTTGTCAATTAGAAACGCTTCTTTTTTAACCAGATTGAGGGCATAATTAGGTTTGTATCCACATATGTTGCTGAGCAGCTAACCACCCCAAAACTTAGTGACTTGAAACAGCTTCTATTTGTCTCTTTAGTTGGGCAGTTTAATCTGGGCTCTGCTCAGTGTTTCTTCTGCTCTATGGGGACATGCATTTACAGACCTCAGTCCATGTCAGAAGCTTCAGCTGCGATGGCTGTAATAGGTGAGAAACCTGGACCTTTTTCCATGGGTCCCTCTCTCTACCTAGAATATCATCCTAAAGTAGGCCAGTTCAGGCTTGTTCACAAGGTCATCATGTTCAGAAAAAGCATGAGAGTAGAAGCTGCAAGGCCTCTGGAGGCTGAAACTCAGAAATCACGCAATGTCACTCTTCTGCATTCTACTGGTCAAAGCAAGTCGCAATGGCAGCGCAGACTCAAGCTGATAGGAAGGGCTGCAAAGAATCTGTGGCCACTTTCATCCACCACAAGTTTAAAGCATGTTCATCCCCTTGAGGAAAATGCAGTATAACATGCTATATATTCTAACCTAGGTGAAGAGAATCCACTGTAAATTTATCAAATAAGGAATTTGATGCTAACTTAAATTTACCTCAGGAGTCTGATACATAGAGCAGCTACGTGACTGAGAAAAGGAGGGAACACAAGGCTGTAGGATTTTGATTTCATCATAAATCTTTTAGGAATAGTTTGTTTTTTTAAACTGGGGGTGTATTACTTTCCTAAATTTAAGATGACCAAAAACTCCATTCAGATGCAAATCTAGGCTATCTCCACTCCCTTACCACATCAATGATGAATGTTAAATGAACACGTTATCCATCATTTTGTTATTATAAGCAACACTAAATTAAACATCCTGAATATATACATCTTCTGTGTTAAAACAAACAAAAAAAAACTTGAACGTCAAGAGTGCAAGACATGATTACTATTAGCAAATCTGAAAGTTCTACCTTTTTTTTTTAATTTATTTTTGGCTGCATTGGTTCTTCGTTGCTTGCACACAGGCTTTTTAGTTGCAGCAAGTGGGCATTATTCTTCTTTGCAGTGCGCAGGCCTATCATTGCAGTGGCTTCTCTTGTTGCGGAGCATGGGCTCTAGGCGTGTGGATTTCAGTAGCTGTGGCTCATGGGCTCTAGAACGCAGGCTCAGTAGTTGTGGCACACGGGCTTAGTTGCTCCGGGGCACGTGGGATCTTCCTGGACCAGGGCTCGAACCCGTGTCCCCCGCAATGGCAGGCGGATTCTTAACCACTGCTCCACCAGGGAAGCCCTGAAAGAAGTTCTATCTTAAGAACACAAGTATAAACATAACTTGTAAGGCTGTAAGATATTATGGGTTCCCTGAATCACTCACTTCACATGGCGTCCACTCTCAAAGTACTTCCAGAGTGTCAACCAATTTTGGCAATAATTAAAGTGATAAAACCAGATATATCCATACAATAAAACATGATGCGATAGTTGTAGAGAATGAAAATAGTCCTAAATACTGACTAAAGATCTCCAAATTCTACGCATTGCAGAGTATCAATAATCTCAGTTATGTAAAATGCATAGAAATCAAGCATTTAACATGCATACACATATGGAGGTAAAGAGTTAATATTAACCATTAATAGTTAATTCTTAAGAAACAAATGAGAGTAAGAAGACTAGTAGGAAGAGAGCTAGTCAAGATAGATTTTAACGTGTTTTGAGTTTTATAAGTATGCAGTTGTACGTGCATTATGTGATCTTTAAAAAGTAATTAGAGCACAAAAAAAAAAATGAAATGAAAAGTGTGGTATTTCAAAATCAATATAAGAATTAGGATTCTGTTCTCTAAAATTGCCCCTTCTGGTGGTAGAATCTTGACCACTGGTAAATTTCCACAACTTAATCCTTAAGGCGTTCCATCAAGCTTTCATAAATTTTATAGCACTGTTACAAGATAAGCAGAGAGAAATGTGATAAATCTGAGTTTCAGTCGTTCGTTCAGTGTAATAGTCTCATGAGAGTCTCATTTAGGGAGCCTGAAAGGGCACCCTCCCCCAACCCCACAGGATGAATGGGGGTAAACAAATGACTGTGAGATGACACAGAAACAAGAACCTGGGTCTATGGGGAAAGGGGAAAGAAAGCTCTTTTTGATAGAGAATATCAGTTACCATAAAAGATATAATTGACTCAAGCAAAAAATCAATATACGCTAAAATCACTGGGTTTGTTGAAGATAATTTCACTATATCATCCCACAGAATGTTAATTACAAAGGGAAATAAATAATAACTTAGTGGAGAAATCTGGTAGACAACACATTAACCAAATAGTAAAAATTAACACAACCAATAACGGCATCATGTGCCTTCTGATTTAATACACCAGTACTTACTATTCCTGCCAAGATGCATAACCTGAATTGAGGCATGAAGAAGCAATCAGAATAATCCAAATTAAGGAGCATTCTTTAAACAGCTTCCAACTCTTCATGCTGTGAAGGACGAATGCTAAGGAGTTATTCCAAATTAAAGGAAACTGAAGAGATGTGACAACTAAATACAATGAGGGATTAGGAACAGGGAGATTGTTAAAGATTAGTATTAAGCGATTTGGCACAATTAAAGTCCTGAATTTGATTTTTACAGTATGATTGTACAAGAGAATGCCCTTATCCTTAGGAGATACAAACTGAAGTATTCAGAGATGAAGGGGTATGCCTACAACTTAATTTCTGGGGGTCCACCACATAAGACACACATAATATACAGAAGGCAAAATGTGAGTGGTGGATCCAAATAATGGGTACACAAGATTTCAGGGTACCACTCCTCCAACTTCTCTGTAAGTTTAAACATTTCTGTTTCTTAAAGTCGCTTTCTCAAGACTTGCTATTTCCTGCTACTTGGGTGAACTCTCCTCCTTGCCTTGCTAATGCATCCAGACAATACCGAAGTCTATGAACCAAGATTTCTGTATTACCAGAATTTTTAAGTTACAGTAAAACGATCATTGTATATTAATTAGTTCAAATTAAGGAGAAGCACACCCACAGAAAAACACCACAAACACAGTCCTTGGCCTGGGCAATCAACTATCTGCCCTTCTAAGGGCCAGATATTGTTTTAGGTACTTGAGTAAAGCAGTGAATACAAAAGCATTCTGACTCTAGTGGAGATTACAGTACCATCTGACACAAAAACCCACATACTACCTTAACATTAAAAGCTATTCTGCAAGACATGGAAGAGAAGCAGGTGGCTTATACAACTTAATCGATGCCAAATAGAGGAAGCACTTTATATATTTAAGGATACTTACTTGCTTTGTTATCTAGTGGAAAAGGTCTTAATACTAAAACTACATGCCAAGCACTAGGCTAAGTGCTTAATAAGCACTTAACACTCGGGAATTCCCTGGCGGTCCAGTGGTTCGCACTCGGTGCTTCCAATGCCATTGCCCAGGTTCAATCTCTGATCGGGGAACTAAGATCCCGTAAGCCATGCAGCAGAGACAAAAAAAATATTTAAAAAACCAACAAAAGCATTTAACACTCAAAAGCCACTCTATGGATAGAAGTACCATATGCCCCCATTTTCTGGATGAAGAAACAGGTTCAGTAAAGTTAAAAATGATTTGCCCAATTACAGTAGTAAGAGGCCCATCGTGAACCAGCTCTAACTGCAAGGCCAACCAAGCACTTAGTACAGCAAGCATCAAAATCCTTTAAAAAGGCATTTTGTGACACTGAAACTTCCCGATTACCAGAGATCAGTACATTATCCTTAGCATCTTCACCAACCTGCCCTTATGGAGCTGAGGACGAGGCCTCTGAAGTACTCTTGGAGGGGAGCTCATACTACCGTACCGTTAACTCTGCCTACAAACTAGGGTCAAGCCCTTAGTGAGACATGAGCAGAATACAAGCATGGCCAAAGGGTAAATGTAAAATGGATGACTGAGAAAGGAGTAGCAAAGGACTGGAGAAACACACTTGTAACCAAACACACTTGTAACTTGAGGGTAACAAACCAAGTCACACATCAATAACATTTATATATTCGTGATAAATTCCCCATATATCCTTAGTTAGGCAGAAATTTTCACACTTCTTGTTATCAATTCCACCATGCCAATAAAATAAATGGTGGAAATTCATTTTGCTTTTTGCTGATAAAGTCTTGCTGGAGGGGAAAGAGGGTGAATCACTCATCAATTCAACAAAAAATATGCGTTCTTTCCTGACTCACGATCTTCTAGGTCACCTGCTGCATCAGGACAGAATGCAATCCAGTTGTTCTGATGTTTCTCCAACTCACTCTCCCTTTTCTCTCAAGTCCACAAATACCTAAGCCTTCAACATAAAGCACAACTGTTTATTTCCATTAACAAAGGAAGAACCTTACTACAATATGGCTTATCACTTTCCCTTGGATTTCACTTTCGTCTCAGACTTCCACTAGTAGAGTAAAATCCTTAAAATACTGCCCTAGCATTCAGTGAACATTCAATGTAACTTAATCTTATTTTCCCTTCAACGCATCTTTTTCCAATTACGCGTGAAAATTTACTGATACCAGGCCTGCTACTGAGAATGGACATGTATATTACAACTGTTAAGGGGACCTGTGGTTTGGAAAATATTACCACACAAAACTTCCTATAAAATTGTCTTCAGGTTGTTTCTCCCCTACCTCCACATCCACTTCCCAGAATGCAGATTATAGGAAGAGAGGATTTGGACTACTACCCACTGGATTGTTTACCCCAAATAAAGACTTCCACAACCTTTCTACTTACCTAGGTTATCAGGGGGAAAATATTTTGAGAATTATTAATACACTTGCAGTTCCGGCCAAATAAATTTGGCTTCCTTGACATTTGATGTACCAAAAATAAACAAAGGCATAAAATGCTTTTTAAAACTTTATTTCAACATAACTATGCATACAGAAATACACTCATATGGGTTAATAGAATGCAATTTAACTTATCCTACACAATTTGGACCAAAAACCTGGTACATGGTTTTGCTTCAAAAAAAAAGGATTTGCAATCTGGTTTATTTTTCATCTATTACAAATGTATATATATATAAAAAAGATACTCCATCAAATGCTGCTAAAGCAAACAGCAAGATCCTTGAGAAATTAACCTTTGGTTTGTCTCTGAAAAGTAACAGGTATTGCACTGTAAAACTTTACAAAACTGGTGCAACAAAACATTGTTGTAATGTTTCAATGCCAGTTCACAAAGTTCAATAACTAATGGATGTTGATGAGGGTGAGGAGAGCCTATGTATACATGTGAAAATATAAAAGGTATCCGATCTAGTTAATATTGCATGTAGATCCCGAATCAACTCAAACCAAGATTCAGATAATTTCTTAAATCTGAATTAACACTATCAGTCCAGTTCATCTGCTGAGGTCAAAAGGAAACTCTGCACAGTAGCTGTTTTCCTGATTTGTGCAAAAAAGAAAATTAAGTTTCTTCCCCAGCATTTTAGTCCAGAACTACAGCAAAGTATTTCATCCATTGTCAACATTCATGGGGTGAGAGGCAATGAGGTTACTTAGGCTTAAATCTGAATTAGCACTCAGATGCAAGAGTCCCCAAAGTTAAGGACCACATGACTTTAGAAGTGACTCTAAAAAATAAAATGGCCCTTCCTGGAAGACTAGAGCAAAACATCTAGCAATAGTTATAAGAAGTCTTATCAATAACATGTAGCCCTTTGTGAATTACACCTCAATTTAAAAAAAAAAAAGAGCCCCAAAGCAGCAGCTCTGAAAAGAGGAAAAAAATATAACTTAAAATATCTTGAAAAGCAATGTGAATATAGGTGAAGATAGTTAAAAGAGATCTATTTTTACAAGGCTACCTAGCATTAGGCTTATAATGTATTCTAAGTATTTCAACTTTCACTCTAATACTAAACATCAATTTATAAACAAGATGTTCACTTTTTATTCTGTTATCAAAAGGGAAAAGTCTAGCTTCAATCCTATCCAGTGGAGGGGAAACTGAGAAAACAAAAAGATTCAAACAGTCTCATGCAAATAGCACATTTTTCAAATGGAAGAACTCCCAACTAGACCAGAAGTTCATATTACTAATATACTTTTCAATGAAACAATTTTTAATAAGAACAAATACATGGCATTAAGGTTCAGAACCTAATATAGGCCTGACAATCAAGTCCTTGTTTTCTGGAGGAAAGGCCTCAAGTTCATTCAATTTCCAGTAACAATGTTTTCACAGATCACTTTAATAATAAGAGGTTTTAATTTCCTTCACATTTTTGTTTTTGGAATTCTAGTTTTAAATCTAAATAAGAAAATTAGTCCAATTCCCCAGAAGTCATATTTTTTTCTTTTGAAGTGTCAAAGAATCCACAAAACCTCTTCCCCAAACTGATTCCCAATCTCCAATTTGAACTTAACACAAATATTTTCATATGTACTGTAAAAGGTAACTTTTTAACATAAAATGTATCCATGAATATTAAATCTAGTTGTTAGAAAGGTTTAACTAACTTTATAATTTAAGTTTTAAAACATAAATATTTGCAGATTGATCTGTTTGACAATGATTGTCAAAGCTGAGAATTCACCTACTATTCAACAAAACACACACCAGTAACAAACAACTTACTCATGTCTTGAGAAAATCTTCTGCTTCTTTAAATCTTTGGCCTCCCAGCCAATTCCAAGGTTCAAATGTCTTTTACCTTAAATTTCACTCTCAGGTTAATAAGTTTTCTACCCACACTTTAATACTTTTCCTAATCTTTCATGTTGCATTGCCAAACTCTGAAACCTGCCTCAGAGATCACCAGACAAAAGAAAATAAATGAAATATAAAGTGGTTACTTCAGAATAGAACATGGGAGGATCGGAATCAAAGTTCCCTACTGGGATCATATTTTATTTTACTGTAATGAATAACTTATCAGCAAGGAAAAAAACCTATGTTAGAGTCTTTCATATTCTTTGGTGACTGGCCAAAGAACCTACTAACAAATATGGGGTACATACTCTTTGCCATACAAAGTGGTCCTGTAGGAACACCAGAATAGCTTCTATTCATTTGAGGCCTCACCTGTAGAAAAAGGCTGTCCCGGGAACAGCCAGGACATCCCTGAGAAAGTATGATTTTTTAATCTGGACTGAACTTAACTTTCACCAGGCCTTTTTCATTGAATTCACAGGAAGTAGCAGCTGGTCTACCAGCACTCATACTACCCTTTCTCATCCTAGGTTTTCCACATAATTGCTATGGCTTTGGAATCTCACAAACTGATAATCCTGTATAACTTGAAGGAATAACTATGCCTCCTAATTCCAGATTTGCAGCTTCCAGATAAAAATTACAGTTCTTTATTCAGCGAGTAGCCATAAAAACACCAACCATCTATGAGAAGAGGTTTTCCTCTAAGATATGATTTAACACCATACATTTAGGAAGTAAATCTACTAAAACAGGCCAAAAGTTTACTTACGGTTGGTACTTGAGATAAAAATCCATTCAGTATGCAGCCTAGTGGTTTATTTATTGTAAAGTTCAAACTGAGAGCTGTGATTCACCACATCAATTTAAAATAAATAACTTATATGAAATACAGATTCTGGCATAGATATAAGATGTTAAAATCAAAATCAATGGACTGAACCGGCATCTTTCATTTGCTCACAAATTTGAACAGACTAATATTCTGCAAAAAAGACAATTGCAGCAGGGGAAAAGAAAACTGCTCTTTTGCAAACAAGACTTAAGCATCCCTCCAAAGAGGTCAAAATAAACATGCATATATAGATATAAAGTGTTACAACACAAATGCTATTTCTAGAAAAAATTTAACTGCATAGGTTAAAAACAACAATGTGCAACATCTTAAGGCATTAAAGCACCGAAAAAAAAAAAAAACCCCACCAAAACCACTTTTTATGACGATTGACATACACAAAACACATATACTGATCAAAACTCAGGAAGTAAATACCTGGACTGATATAACGTCCATTGTTGGGAGAATTTCTCTTCAATTTAAATGTCTCTTCTCATCTCTAAAACAATTTTAAAGTGCTAACTTTATATAAAGCAGGCAAATTCTTCAAGTAATTTGCTATTTAAGTATGCTAATTTTTACAGAGCTAAACAAGGAATTAAGAATAAACTAACGTGAAACAGGAAGATAGACATGAGGAAAAAACTCACAAGTTATAGCTGAACAAATCGATAGAATGCTCTAATACCACCTTGGCCTTCTGGGTTCAATTAAAAGCAAAAGCTAACAGATTTAGATGTCTGCTGGTTTATTACACTAACTCCCTTGGCTTTGCTAAAATGTGTACATCAATAGGTACACGGATTCCTAAGGAAAAGAATGCCACTTAAAAATCAAGATTGGATACTAATTAAAGCAATTTTAAAAACAAAAGGTTGTCTACTACTACAAATGAATACAAAATGTCACAGACCTTACAAACTAAGAACTGAAGCCTTGCCCAAAGTTTATTTACTCCTGCCCTTGAGCTGCCTCTTCAAGGAAGTATACATTAACCAAATGGCGATTGAGGTGTTTGCTGTAATCTTTTTCCTTTCTAAAAGAACGATCACAGAAGATACAAACAAAATCTCCCTCGGCCACTTTGACTGCCAAGGCTTCCTTTCCATTTTTTCTACTAGTCTCTTGTGGAACTGGCCGAGCCCCATTCAATCCAGAGTCATCACTGTCCTCTGACATGTTGTCACTTAGGTCACTTCCATCGTGACTGTGGATGCCTTCGTCTTCATCCATTTCCTGAGACTCATTTACTGCCACGGTGACAGGAGGTGATTCCACAGTAGCTGTGGACACTGCTTCACATTTTTCTAGCGGTAGAGGAAGAAGTGGTGGTGAAGCTGGTTCTTCAACCGCCGAGTCTCTGCCGGGGAGATTCTCTGTTTTCTTCTCATCAGCGTCCATCTTCATTTCACAAAGCATAGCGTCAGCCTGATGTTTACCATCTGAAGTTTCACCCTCTGGCATATTCAAGTTTTGTTCAGAGGATGAAATACTGGCAGATGCCTTGGTAACAGCAGCAAGACCAGCTAGACTCTTATCTGCCTCTTTTGCTTCCACTTTTTGAAGAGGAGCTTCTTTATGTCCTTCCCCTGCAGGGACTAATTTTTGGTCTTCTGACTCTTCCTCTTTTAAGTCTTCCTTTGGCAGAGGTGGTGATGGTGGTAAGAGATCCTGTGCACCGGCACTTTCCTTTAGAAGCTGCCTGTCTTTAACAGGCACTAAGCCAACTTCAATAAGGACTTGCTCCTTCTGCACCATTTCACTCTGCATGTTGGACTTTTCCTTGCCATTATCTTTGTGAGGAGACCTTTTGGGGATCGGCTCCACGGGAGGAGGAGGCTCCGCATGAACAGGCCCCTTCTGAACAACCTCGACCTCAGCATGCCCCCCGGGGGGAAGAGGTGGAGGAGGAGATGGGGGGGGAGGTGGGGGAGGAGGCGGCCGCTCCGTCTGAACCACCTCGACCTCAGCATGCCGCTCGGGGGCAAGGGGAGGAGGAGGAGATGGGGGGGTGGCAGGAGGAGGCTCCGTCTGAACAGGCCCCCCCTCAGCAGACTCCATGGGAGGAGGAGGCTCTATCTGAGTGGGCCTCCTCTGAGCAGGTTTGCCGCTTTTTTTACATGATTTACTTCTCAGAGTTTTCTTCTTTGCACTGTTTTTCATGCAAATACTTTGCTTTTTATTCTCCTCTACTTTGCTGTCACCCTTCGGCACTTCCTGACTATTTCTGGATTTGCTTTCTGCCTTCTTTTTCTTTTTTGTCACAGGTTCCTCATCATTCACAGGTTCTTGTAAGGAACGGGCTTCAGCTTCTGTCTTCCTTTTGCTTTTCTTGCTTTTACAGCTTTTTTCTGCATTATTTCCTGGGTGCACATCCATCTCTTTAGCTTCCAGTGCCGATTTGCGAGTTCTGGTAGTCACTTGGCTTGAGGCATTACTACAAGGCTTTTTCTCTTTTGAAACATTATCTTTTTTCTCCACTTTTACAGACCTCTCGTTTTTCTTCCCAGTCACATCCCCCTTCATTTTTGTCTGCTCTGTTTCTGTTTTCTCATTGGTGATTTTGTTATCAGGCAAGTCAGCCTCTCGCTTTTTGGTTTTCTTTAGCTTCACTTTTGAGACATCCATGGTCTTATTAGGACAAGTAGGATGCTTAGACTTGAAATGATACTGCAGATTACACTTCTTGGAAGCTGCGTAGTCGCATACAGGGCAGTTGAACTGCCGTGGATTAACATGTAGCTCCACGTGTTTTTTGAAGTTACTTCTATCTGCTGTTTTGTAGTCACAGTGTGGGCAGTTAAGAGGTTTAGGCCCATTGTGAACCTGTCTTGCGTGACGGGTTACTTCATGTTGATTAGAGGCCACGTAACTGCACTGGTCACACTTAAAAGGCTTCTCACCTGAAGGTAAGCAAGAGACGTTGCAGAAGGCATACATTAAGAAATGAATTCAAGATTTACTCAAGCATACTTACAAGGAATTGGATATATGTAAAAAAGCAAACAAAAAACCACCAAAACTATTTCTTGAAGACTTTATCATGCAAATTACATTTACCATATTTATTTGTATATCCTTCCTCTATCTCTTGACATTGATTCTCATAACAAATGGGAGAATAATTATATCAGTTAATCACCATCTTCAAAAAAGTTCATCAAGCTAGGGCTCTCGAGCACTAATAAAGGACACAGATTCATCAAGAAATACACAATTACTGGAAAAGTGACTTGGGCTCTTGATGTTAATTTTGGGACAAGGGCACTCAAAGAGATAAGATAATTTTAAAGTTTTTATGTTTAGTTAAAACAAATGTATAATGGAATAGAACATAAAAATCCCATACAGTTCAGATAAACCTTGAGTCTTCAAAAGAAATATTATACACTCTAGGCTACACTCCCAGACCTTCCGTGTGAAAGTTTTAAAAGAATGCTTTGGCTTCAGGGAGCAAAAGGATTTTTCTTTAAATTTAACCCTTTTGTGCATCGTGGCAAGAGCTGAGTCAAGTTTCACTTAGCAAACTTTTTCACTGCTGGGGTTTCTATTCTGCAGCAAAAATATAACAAGTCAGAAATCTTTTCTTGATTTTCTCCCACCTTCTTCTAAAGAATGGGCAAAGAAACTAGGTAAATGAAAAGGGGCATACAAATATATATGGTATATAAAATTAGCAAAGAAAGTAATCACACGTACATACAAGACTAGAAGCCCACCCCCAACCCCCAAATTAAAGGCATTAAGATTAACTCATTCTATCTGAATACATACCCATCTAGATCACACTCTAGCAAATATTAGCAAATGGTATCCATACCCCACTGGTCCAATGGAATGCATAGCAGAAAAATGGAAATTGACATTTATGAAAATTCATCTCTCAAACATTCTCAAATTTACATCAAATATTATTTTTTTCATAAAGCAAAACTACTCAGACATGAAGTAAAACCATGTAGATGGTGAGTTTTACATGATTAAAAAATGTCTGATGATAGAATACTCGATCACAAAACAAAAACTTATCCGCCCATGTCAGATTGTAAATGCAGCTAACTGGACAACTCTTTTCCATATTAGTCCACTAACAGATTCATAAATAGAGGTTTCTAACAATACGCTACATTACTCTATACTTCGCCCTATCTTGTCCTCTCCATTGAATGACTTGAATGGAGACATTTACTTAACATATATAGATACAGAATGGGGAAAAGGTATGTGACATAACAGTTAAGAACTTGTCCTACAGTAAAAATACGTGCGGAGATCAAATATGGGCTCTGCAACTTGCTGTGAAGTCTTGAGCAAGATACTGAAAACTCTCTAAGGCTCAATTTCCTCATCTGTAAAGTATTCTTAAGTGTTGTGAACTATAAGTAATCTAATCCACATAGAGCTCTTAGCACAGCACAGATAGCCAAGCAGTCAATACACATTACCTGTAAGTCATCACTTTTGGAATGAACTGGTAAGTTTTAGAATAGGTAAACAAAAGGGAAGATTTCATGTGCCTATCCTGCCTTAGTACATAAATCCTACTTTTGAGTAAACAAACAGCTGATAAATGGAGTTTATCTCTTCAGGAAAATAGTTGTTCTCTTAAAAGAATTATAAAGAAAATGTCATCACTTTATAAGCCCTAATGAATGAGAGTATTTTCACAGCCAGCATCAAACAAGATGCAAGCCCCCACCTGTGAAACGGTCAGAGAATGGGAGTTCCTAGGAGTCTGTATAAAACTGTGACATCATTTATTTGATTCATTCACCCCACCCCCATTTTTGCTTTATTGCCATCAAATCTTTCTTGTATTGGAAAATCAATTCATCAAGTTTAGCTTATTAATACCTAGTTGAATGAAAATTCTTTTGCCCTGTACCAACAGTTTTAACTTAATTCCCTTTTCCAGTTCTGGTAAAATTTACCTGCTTTTCATCTTTATAAATGTCAGATGTCTGTTTAATTCTTCCCAAATGAATTTATAGATGTAAGGCAAATTCAAAAAGGGAGTTTTATAAGCTTTACACATGCTTATCAAGAAGAGCCCAGAAAGAGTAACAAGGGAAATTTTAATTAGTGAGTAACAGGGGCATACTATTCAGCAATAAATTTAGAGTTGGGAAAATACAGCATGAAATCTATCTCAAAAATATTTTACAGAAAGATGTTACATTTTTTAACATAAGTCAGAGTATCAGTTGAGGGGGGACTATGGGAGTACTGACTAGAAAGGGTAAGGAGGGAACTTTTCTGAAGGTGGTAAAACATTTCATGTCTCCACCTAGATGGTGTAGTCAAACAAGAGAAAACATAAAGTCACTGCCCCATATACCAAAGATGCGTGCATTTTCGTATGTGTAAATTAAACCTTAATAAAAATTATTAAAAAATTATTCTAGGGACTTCCCTGGCAGTCCAGTGGTTAAGACTCTGAGCTCCCAATGCAAGGGGCACGGGTTCGATCACTGGTGGAGGAACTAAGATCTTACATGCTGCCTGGAGTGGCCAAAAAAAAAAAAAACTAAAATTCATAAAAAAGACTCTCAAACCATAAAATGTGTCAAATGACCCAGCTATTAAACAGTGCCTCCACGGAATTCCCTGGTGGTCCAGCAGTTAGGACTCTGCGCTTCCACTGCAGGGGGTACAGGTTCAATCCCTGGTCGGGGAACTAAGATCCTGAAAGATGTGCAGCCAAAAAAAGAAAAGTGCCTCCATAGTAACCATCAAGTATTTGGTGAGAGGAAAATAATTTTTGCTTAAGAAAATATTTTTTTAATCTTAAAAGGAGTAGTCCTGAGAAGATAAATGATAAACCATTAGCCAGGCTCATCAAGAAAAAAAGGGAAAAGAATCAAATCAATAGAATTAGAAATGAAAAAGTAACAACTGACACTGCAGAAATACAAAGGATCATGAGAGATTACTACAAGCAACTATATGCCAATAAAATGGACCATCTGGAAGAAACGGACAAATTCTTAGAAAAGCACAACCTTCCAAGACTGAACCAGGAAGAAATAAAAACTATAAACAGACCAATCACAAGCACTGAAATTGAGACTGGGATTAAAAATCTTCCAACAAACAAAGCCCAGGACCAGATGGCTTCACAGGCAAATTCTGTCAAACATTTAGAGAAGAGCTAACACCTATCCTTCTCAAACCCTTCCAAAATATAGCAGAGGGAGGAACACTCCCAAACTCATTCTACAAGGGCACCATCACCCTGATACCAAAACCAGACAAAGATGTCAAAAAGAAAGAAAACTACGTGACAATAGCACTGATGAACAGAGTTGCAAAAATCCTCAACAAAATACTAGCAAACAGAATCCAACAGCATATTAAAAGGATCATACACCATGATCAAGTGGAGTTTATCCCAGGAATGCAAGGATTCTTCAATATACCCAAATTAATCAATGTGATACACTATATTAACAAACTGAAGGAGAAAAACCATATGATCATCTCAATAGATGCAGAAAAACCTTTCGACAAAATTCAACACCCATTTATGATAAAAACCCTCCAGAAAGTAGGCACAGAGGGAACTTACCTCAACATAATAAAGGCTATATATGACAAACCCACAGCCAACATCATTCTCAATGGTGAAAAAATGAAACCATTTCCTCTAACATCAGGAACAAGACAAGGTTCTCCACTCTCACCAGTATTATTCAACATAGTTTTGGAAGTTTCAGCCACAGCAAGCAGAGAAGAAAAAGAAATAAAAGGAATCCAAATTGGAAAAGAAGAAGTAAAGCTGTCATTGTTTGCAGATGACATGATACCACACATAGAGAATCCTAAAGATGCTACCAGAAAACTACTAGAGCTAATCAACGAATTTAGTAAAGTAGCAGGATACAAAATTAATGCACAGAAATCTCTGGCATTCCTATACACTAATGATGAAAAATCTGAAAGAGAAATGAAGGAAACACTCCATTTACCATTGCAACAACAAAAAAATAATACCTAGGAATAAACCTGCCTAAGGAGACAAAAGACCTGTATGCACAAAGCAATAAGACACTGATGAAAGAAATTAAAGAGGATACAAACAGATGGAGAGATATACCATGTTCTTGGATTGTAAGAATCAACACTGTGAAAATGACTATACTACCCAAAGCAATCTACAGATTCAATGCAATCCCTATCAAACTACCACTGGCATTTTTCACAGAACTAGAACAAAAAATTTCACAATTTGTATGGAAACACAAAAGACCCCGAATAGCCAAAGCAATCCTGAGAAAGAAAAACACAGCTGGAGGAATCAGGCTCCCTGACTTCAGACTATACTACAAAGCTACAGTAATCAAGATAGTATGGTACTGGCACAAAAACAGAAATATAGATCAATGCAACAGGATAGAAAGCCCAGAGATAAACCCAAGCACATGTGGTTACCTTATTTTTGATAAAAGAGGCAAGAATATACAATGAAGAAAAGACAGCCTCTTCAATAAGAGGTGCTGGGAAAACTGACAGCTACATGTAAAAGAATGAAATTAGAACACTCCCTAACACCATACTCAAAAATAAACTCAAAATGGATTAAAAACCTAAATGTAAGACCAGACACTATAAAACTCTTATAGGAAAACAGGCAGAACGCCCTATGACATAAATCACAGCAAGATCCTTTTTGACCCACCTCCTAGAGGAATGGAAATAAAAACAAAAATAAACAAATGGGACCTAATGAAACTTAAAAGCTTTTGCATAGCAAAGGAAACCATAAACAAGACCAAAAGACAACCCTCAGAATGGGAGAAAATATTTGCAAACGAAGCAACTGACAAAGGATTAATCGCCAAAATTTACAAGCAGTTCATGCAGCTCAACATCAAAAAAACAAACAAACACCCCAAACCAAAAA